AGAGATGGGCTGAGACCCTACACAGACTTACAGAATTGCAGAATTTTATTGCTGAAAGAAATTTCAGAGATTGTCTAATTTGAACCCCTTATTCATTTATAGATTACATAACTAAAAACTCATAAATAAATATGATTAACTAACTTACAGATGCTGGAGGGAGAGCAGGCCTTCAAATGAATCCTTATGTAATTCAGTCAAAAGATTTTCACTGAGAATTCTGGAAAATGAAAAAGTTATTTCTGAGTCAAAATGCAAACTAACCAGAACTATTTGCTATAGAGGACTAACTCCTGTATGTGGAGGAAACTAGGGCAATGGTTCCAACTAAATACCCCAATTCTTACTTAATTTCAAGATGTTGATGTCTGTNCAACGGGATCGCAACCCTCGGTGTTGCGTCCGCACCAGGGACCGGCAACGGGATCGCAACCCTCGGTGTTGTGCCCGCACCGCGCTCAGCCAGTGAGCGGGAACCGGTCTCCGCATGGGATCCAAACCCTCGGCAGGAGCGCCGCCGTACTCCCAAGCGGTGCACTCTCCAGTACACCACCGGGCCGGCCCCAGACTAAGTATTTCTAATGAAAATTTAGCAACCGAATTGAGATTAAAAAGAGTTAGTATGGAAAAATAGTGTAAACTCCCTAATTAATAATTTTATACTAATTACAAGTAGAAATAATAATTTGTTGTACGTTTTGAAGACAGTATAAAAATAGAATATCTCAGTAGGAGAGTAAATAGTGATTACACATTGAAATAATATTTTGATTATATGGGTTTAAAAAGTACATTAACATTTATTTCACCTGTTTCTTTTTACTTTTATTTTTTAAATGGCTACCTGAAAAGTTAAGGTTATGTATGTCTTGCATTATGTTACTAATGAATAATGCTGCTTTACAGTATTCCATTGTGTGACTATACCACAATTTATTTATTCTTTCTACTGTTGATGGATACTGAGATTTTTCTCTTTTTTAGTTATTGCAAACAACGCTGCTTTGAACATTCTCGTACACGTATCCTGCTAACACATGTACCTGAGTTTCTCTAGGCTGTAAGGGTCTCCTTATTCTCAGGAGAATCCATCTGGAACACAAGCCCCAGCATCTCATTTTGCCTCTCCCCTAGAGCTGTAAGTAGCAGAATTCCAACTACAAAGATGAGTGGTACTCAGGAATGACCAAACAATGTGAGAAAGCTAACTCCATTAAGGACAGAAAACAAACCCAAACAAACTTAAGAGTTTAAAGCCAATGAATCAGAGTTAACAGAGAAAGCACAGAGGACTTTAGGCGAGCAGAATTAATATCCTCAGACAGCTGTAAGCCGATAGTGAATCCATGAAAAAAAATCAACTAAAGATTATACAAATGAAAAAAATTCATCATTAATAAAAAACTCAGTATATGAATAGCAGAAAGAATAGTTGAGGAATAAATGAGAAAACAGAGAGATACAGCCAATGAATTCTCCAAGATGCAGAATGGAGAGGATAGGAATGATCCTCAGACGAGCCTGACACCTGGGCCTACCCAACAACTGTTCTGGCTTTTGCTTCCCTTAGTCTTGCAGTAAAGACTGGGAACGTGCTGGGGAGAGGGTGTTGCACTCTTGGGGCCCTGAGAATACATCAAAGACCCCGACCTCAATTTGAAATTCACCACTTTAGAAGGAACAGCAGTGATGGTCAGAATGTGTGAAGGGGACACCAGGTGATGTTGGGATTGATTTGTCTTCTCACCTCGGTTAGCTAATCGTTTCTTATTTTCATAGAAATGATCCAAAAAGGAAAACAAATCAACATGCCCAACAATATTTATAGTAACCCTCTTCATAAGTATAAAAAGTTGGACAAAACCCTACCTTCCTATATGACTGAACAAAAACCATATGGATATACCACGAATGGTGTACAAAAGACATAGGAAATGATGATTAATAAAAGTCAAGACAAAAATGAAGCTTCTATATACATTTTATAACTTTAAAAAATATAAAGTGACAAGAATTCAGTAAGGACAGAGAAAGATGGGGTTGACCCTCAGCTGTTTATGGTCCATGTCAGACTGTTTGGTTGAAGAGTTGAATATCGTGCTAGGACTGGGAATGACTAAAAAGTATTTTAAATTAGTGGGTTTTCATTCTGTTTGGATGAAAAGTTGTTTGGATGAAAAGTTGTTTGGATGACAGGATAGTGCAGGGGCACCTCCCACTCATCAGATTAAGTATGGTAACGAACTTCTAATGAAACACGGTGTTTGCAGGGCCTCATCGTGAAGGGATGATGGCAAGGCCTCATCGTGGGAGAAGATGCCGGCGTTCCACCTTGATTTTCTGGAGCTCTGTGTGCTTGTTATGCTTTATTACATTTTATTCTTTGCTGCCTC